GAAAATAGAGCCCATGGTGTAATATTAGGCATCAAGTATCTCTAAATAGATACCATTAACCCAAACTGAACTAAAACTACTGAATGGCTTAATACCAGGGTTTTTGATCAAACCATCTCTTAAATACATAAAACAGGCACACGATTCTGACAACTTGTCGAGTCAACATATCTAATCAATGAGTAGCACATACCTGCCCTCACCTTTGTGTGAGGTAAACCTGGTTGCACTGCTGATTCTCAAGGACCCACTCCACTAGAGGCTCACGCACAAGATGTTATACTAGAGTCACTACAGTGCAAAATCCTGTTCGCTTCAACCTGATCCCTTTGGCTCGTTTGACAGCTGAAATATTTTCAAGGCATATAGGAACTGTGCAGCTTTTACAACAAAGATGTATTTTTGTCTCACAGTACAGATCTCTTATGTTTAACAAACCATTTTTATGTGCATTGCTTCTAAGAGTAGTTGTTCTGTACACACACTGTAAAATGTACAGTGGGTGTTGTCTAAGTTCTTTGAAAGACAACACAGGGAAATGCTTTTTCTCTGTTGTGTTGAACACCATTAGGGCTCTGCAGTAGAAAGTGAATCTAGTGTTGACAGAAGCGTTGAGTTGAAGCAGACAATGCAGCAGCAGCTCTTTCAATGCAGTTCAAGGCTGTGTCGCCGTTGTATACTTGAGCCGCACAATGCTTTGGCATGGGTGAGGAAGTGACACATCCCATGAGCAGACTCTCCAGTTGACCCTTTGTGGATCAAAACAAACCCTCTGCATTATTCGGTGAATGTTTTTGATGCAAAGTAAAAATGTGGAGCATAACTGTGGTAATAAATCAGAATAAGTCAGTAGGAAGGAATATCAGACAGGATATTATTTATAGCTTGAGTAGTTTTAAAACATTGATTTATATTGATGTTTAATGTGTATTTAGTGATTATATATTATAAAATACTGGGTGTATTTCATTTAACTTGAACAAGTGACACAGTTGTGTGCCAAAAATATTAAAGAGAAAGGAGATACTTCTATTGTGAAGAACTTTCTACTGGTGTCTCTTTTGGCGCCCACTGTGAACAGTGCTATCTTTGCTTATCTTGTCCTCAACATGTTTGAGTGGATTCTGACAAAACATCTCTACCTGATGACTTTTTACTGGCAACTCTATCAGATATTGTGAATATTTTTTATGTCAGAATAGCAAATGCTTTTTCTCCAGCTGCTTGGCGGACACCTACCTCTATTCAAAATTAAAGCAAACAAATTCCAATTTTGCCCCTGATGTCCTCGTTTGCGTTTGGATATCATGAAAAGGCATGAGTATCAAGCCACTTGGACCCTCTGGATCCGCCTCTGGCTTTATGGTTTTACAATACTGATCAATATACATATGTACAAGTATTCTGTATTAAGGCCCAATTCAGTCTATGAGTATGAGAACAAATACAGCTGAGTTTTTTTTTTCCAAGTATGGCACCATATCCTGACAGGGACCAGACAGGACAGTGGCTATCAGTAAGGAAAATAAAGCCAGAAGGGAATTCACATCTCACCTTTTGTTCTCTTTGGATGATAGACAGGCTCCTAAGGAAAGGTGTCGACCTTTTTATTGTCTGTTTTGGTTTGTCTGGTCTCCGGGGTAAAGGATTAGCAGATATTGGACTCTTTTAAGTGCACCTCCTTTACCAGAAGCACACCATCAGATGATTTTACAAAACCTGCCCTCCACCACATCAAATGGAAACAGGCAGTATGATCATGTGCTTAACCTCAGCTAAAATACATTACGCCCTTAAAACATCATCTTTGTTGTTCCTTTAATGAGAACATAAAACCTAATTGTGGAGGATGCTTCACTTGCGCACACACAGTTCCTTGGGGAGCCTGTGGATGTAGGCGGGTGCTGCCTCACCCGCCCAGGAGATGAATGACCCAGATGTTTGACGAATGGACTTGACTGGTGTAGGTGTGGTGGAGGTCAGGAAACGTTCATCGCGACTAAAAAAGGAAATTGAGAACTCATTTGGAACCAACTTCACTCACGCAAAGTAAATACGGTTTTAAAAGCTGGGGTATAAAAGAAAGATTGAATCACTGTGGCCTTGGATGAATATGAATTATAAATGTGAACATCAGAAGGAATGTCTTCACAGATCTCTGATAAAAATCAAAGAAACCAAGACACGGATAATCGAATGTGCAGTCAAGACTAAAAGGTGTTTGACACTGGCTACAGAATGCAGCATTTGTTCCATTATTGTGTAGGCTAAATAATACAGCCTGACAAGCTCCAATAAAATATTTATTTTCCAACTCACATCAAAGGGCTGTGAGACAAATTCCTGGGTTGAGCTTGCCTGTTAACCTCTGCAGAAACTTTGTATGGCTAATGTGACAAATTTCCAACAAATTCATGAGCCGACAGGAAGAATTCTTCAGAGGAACATGATTCATGAAGTCAAACAATGTACATACATGGACAGCTTAAGGAGACGCTCTAATGGATGGAGAGGAGCTACGGAACGGAAAGGGATGGGAGAGGTAAGGAGACAGGGGACACAAGGAGAGGGTTTGGCGGCCAGCAGTCAGGCTCATAGACAAGGTCACTTCCAAAAGTAACATGCCATGGGAGGTCGGGACAAGCATCCCATAAAGCAGATAAAGAACAATAGCAGGAACTATAGGCCACAAAATGACTGGAGCCTCTCCCTGGACGAAAATAATAGAAAGACCCTGGAAGATCGGGACACACACTCAGCACGGAGGGGACAGAGTAGATGAGATATTTTTATAATGTGATTATTTGCTAATGCATCAAGGAGAGTGAAATATGAGCAATGTGGCCTGATGTAACTACACTTGCAACCAACGGGTGTTTTTACAAGACTTGGAAACAAACTTGAGCACGTTTTCTAGTAAAGGTAATTGTCTATAAGGAAAATTTGGCACACCATCAACGACAATGACTACACAGTGACTTTAAAGCGTGACACTGCTTGTTTGCATCTTTGGAGGAGAATTGTTGTTGCTTTCGTTTCAGGATTTTATATAAGAAGCATACCAAGACACATACTTTGTGTCTTGGTATGCTTCTCAGGTATTCCCATTTGCATTGTTCAAAATTCATAGTGAGGCTGTCTGTGTTATGATGGAGCAGAGGGGTTTTGTCTAGTTTGGGGTTAACACTCCATATCCTTTTCCATTCATTGTTCCCTCTACCACTGATTAATATCTTGTTTAAACAGCCCACAGACACACCGACAGTATGTTCATAAATCCTCAGGAGCTGATCAACACAATGGCCCACATTCCTGACATTTAAAGCCCCCTTATATCATAGCATCTCCTTTCCAGCAGAGACACTGACATTCCTGGAGTATGAATCCAAACAACTCTCAAAATGCATGTCTATTTATTTACTCTAGTGAAAAACATGAGCTAAACAGGGACATTGCCATTTAGGGGGGGTCCAACTAGTGTTTCACCTCTGTTATGCATCACCTGGCTTCTTACCAACACCCTGTGTGGCTCCAGGGTTTTATCAAATGACAGCAACATGGACCAAAAGAAAAAAACATGAGCTCTTGTTTTCCCTTTTTCGAACCATAATCAGTCATTAGTGAAGAAATGTAGAATTTGTGGGGGTTACATTTTCTGACCTGATTCCAGCATCGTCGCTGTATGTGGTATTACCAAATCCTCCTCTTGTTAATTATGGCTTCATCTGGGTGGATAAGGGGACATGCTGTACAAAAATACAAATGATTTCATATTCATAGAGGTAGGGCTCAAGAAATGAGACAAGATGTAATAAAAATAACAGCAATAATAATTCATACACAAAGAGCTTAAAAGATAGAAACAAAACATGGATCAGAAAACACTGAAGGATTAAATAAATCACAGTTTAAGACACTTTCATGATCTTATATTGTATATTATATCTTGTCATAGTGTATCACATCACATCCTAACATTTGCATCTGTCATGACTATTACAGTATATCCTTATGTATGATATTGTCATCACTGTAATGGATGGTGGTGTATGAAATTACAGCATATTGTACTGCATGACGCTATAAGGTAATGTATGGCATCAATAAGTGTTGCATAACGATATATTGTATGGCATCATATGTCATGGACGCATATCATACGATATTATAATGTATTGTGTTGTTTCTTTTGTGTTGTATTAAAGTGTTTAGAGTGGTATTGTATTGTATTGTATACAATATCATATTGCATTGTATTAAGATAGGATAAGAAAAACCTTTATTCATCTGACAGTGGAGAAATTTGCAATACAATATTGCACTGTGTGGTATGGTTTATAAATTTAATTAAAAGAGGGAAAACTGCAACTCCATCATTTTCTATCACTGAGACGTGCTAAGGGACTGTCTACACTGTTGGAAACACTGGTTTGCCAAGGAGCTCATAACTGTGTTGTATTCTCCTAATACCCCTATGTATCTAAAACTCCCCTTGTATTCACCCTTGTCTGACAAAATACAACATCTCACTCATCACACACAGTCTCTAAACAGTCAAGTCAAGGTGTGGTTTGATCCATGAACCAGGCTGCCATGTGTGATTGAGTTTCACATGATTCCCAAGGGTACCAGACTCTTTTCCTTATGGCTACACAGTTTAAACACCCACCCATTATAGACATCCATCCTTCTCGGAAATGAACTCCTCGCTAACAGACATGGTTTGGGGTTACACCTCAAACATCACAATACAACTTTGATCTATGTAGGCTGTTTCACAGTGGTATACATTGTATGACTTAATTGTGCCTCCTCTGAGATTGTACCTCCCGCACAGCTCTCTGGAGGATGGATGGAGCATTGTGGGGATAGTCTGTGTTCTTGGAAGGAAAGGATTTCTAGATAAAGTCCGAGTCTCTAAGAGAAAACCCCTTTAGCAGTAGGACCCAGAGGGATTTGAAGGAAAAGAGAGAAAAAACAGTGGACCAGCACACCTTTATGATGTAGGAGGCAGGACAGAGATGTAAAAAAAAGTTGTTGAACACTGTAACAAAACAGGCAGAGCTTTGAGCCATGTCATTGGCTAAGAGGAGTTGAACAGGAAAATGCTTGAATGCAATGGCTCTTGAGGTCAGGGCAGAGTCTGGTATAAATGTAGACCTATTGCTACGGACAATACTTTTACTGACTTGACCACAGCGCGTGCATGGTTACCCATCATCACTCACCTCTACAGGGACAGTATGAGCGCTTCCGTGGCCGTGTACAGGAATATTTACACGGAGGACCGCTTCAAACAGGCCTATGGCTCCGATGATAGCAGGAGTGGAAGTTTGCGGTTGCGGGAGAAGCTCGCCGGGAGGTGCAGGTGCTCAAAGCGAGCGTGCCTCCACCTGTTGAAGGAGAGGGTCCCTATTTTCAGCTGGCTGCCGAGATACAGACTCAAGAAATGGATTTTAGGAGATACTATAGCCGGACTGACAGTTGGTATTCTTCACATTCCGCAAGGTAAGACAGTCAGTAAAACCCAAATTTATGAATTTATCAAGGTTTGGAATTTTACAACAAACGACACAAACAAGGCAAGATAAGACCGTCTTTTGTATTTTAATGTTATTTAGTAATTAGAAATAATTAATTTAGTATTTAGAAATAATCATTTTACTGCTGCTAAAAATAATAGTAAGCATAAAAACAACATAAATATTCTATAAATAGTAGATGACATGAGAAACGAGATTCCAGACTAATGAATTTCCCCTATTTGGATCAGTAAAGTTCTTGTCACGTATAGTACTGCAATGTATAAGAGTACAACATGATTATTGTTTTAAAAAGTGATTGGCTATATTATTCAAGAATTTTAGCATACATTGTAAGGCCACAGTATATCAGATTTATTCAAGAGAACACTGATTTACACAAACATAAAGCCATTTTTTTATTGACAATAATGTAGATTTGTCTGTTGTTTTAGTCACACCCTTTTATGCACATAAAAAACACACTTTTCAATTCTATTCTACACAGGGATTGGCAGAAAGTATGTATAACAACTAAATTTGTCCTTTGAAACAGGCATGGCCTTTGCTTTGCTCACATCTGTGGCTCCAATATTTGGCCTCTACACCTCCTTCTTCCCCGTGGTCCTCTACATGTTTTTTGGCACAGGTCGACATGTGTCCACAGGTGAGACGTATATCATGCTGCTTTCATCTCAGCCTTTTTTTTTTTTTAAATCACAACTGCTTTATTTATTATTTCTTTGCCAATTGAGAAGTGTATAAATGGTTAAATTATCTAATTCATGCACAATTAACAGTTTTGAGGGTTAGTTATTCATGTTTTTTACTGTTACTGAGATGATCTGTCTATTCACAGGTACCTTTGCAGTGGTGAGTCTGATGACGGGCTCTGTGGTGGAGCAGCTGGTACCCACTCCTCTGGAGATGAACTCCAGCTCCCCTGAAGCAGCAGATTTTGAGGGCCAGAGGATTGGTGTGGCTTCTGCTGTGGCACTGCTCTCAGGAATTATTATGGTGAGAAAGATGGACCGATTTTTTGATTGAACACAAAGTTAAATCAAATGTTGACTCAATAAATGCAGACTGGATCCCCTGGTTTAGATCATGATTCAGTCTCTTGTTCCCCAGCTGTGTATGTGTGGCCTTCAGCTGGGGTTCCTCTCCACCTATCTGTCTGAGCCGATAGTGAAGGCCTTCACTAGTGCTGCTGCCTTCCATGTCACCATCTCACAGCTGCAAAGCATGCTGGGACTGCGGCTCCCACGCCACACTGGGACTTTCTCCCTCTTCAAGGTGAGCAGTGTTCATATCTTGACAACCCTTAAAAAAATGCTCTTATTTTGGCACTTCTTGTTGTTCACATATAGCTCACTGTTTCCTGTGTTCAGACTTTAGCGTCAGTGATGGAGAACCTGCCAGACACAAACATGGCAGAGCTGCTCATCTCTGTGGTGTGTTTGGCCATCCTTGTGCCTGTTAAAGAGGTCAATATGCGTTACCGTCAGCGCCTGCGGACACCTATACCTGTGGAGATCCTCACGGTAAGTCAACTAGATTTATAAATGCTAGTGGAGGCATTTACAAGATAATCAAAAGGTTAAAAGTCATGCTTTTACTCTCTATTCTTCAGGTGATCATTGCTACAGGTGTGGCTTATGCCACTTCCCTGGACTCTACCTATGGAATTGAGATAGTGGGCCACATCCCAGCCGGGTAATCTTCCACATTTGAACATAAATCAAAGTGCTGAAGCAGTTCAAAGTATTTTCTGCTCATCTATTATTTTTCTTCTCAGATTCCCCAGGCCACAAATGCCAGCTTTGCACACTTTCCCCGACATAGCTGGTGACACAATAGCAATCACATTTGTTGGTTATGCTGTGTCGGTGTCACTGGCAATGATCTATGCAGACAAACATGGTTACTCCATCCATCCCAATCAGGTAAAGTGTCTAATTATGGTAATGGTAAATGGACTGTGTTTTATGAATATTATGTGTCAAAGTACTCAAAGTAAATCATTTTTACATTGCGTATTTCATTCATCCATTTACACCCCAACCATACGCTGATGACAGCTTGGCGTCAAACCTCCAACCATCTGAACCACAGCAAAGATGTTTGGTTTAACACTGATCATTAACTTCTTGTGCTGAATCTGTGTCTGATTTTAGGAGCTCCTGGCTCATGGCATCTCCAACACGGTATCATCGTTCTTCACCTGCTTCCCCAGCTCAGCCACTTTAGCCACCACCAACATACTGGAGAGTGCTGGTGGATACACACAGGTAGTGTATGAATTTGTTCATGATGCAGTAATGTACAGATATGTATCATTTTATAGTATCCGTGCACCATCTATTGTTTAACAATTGCAAAATGATAAAAAATTGGGGTTTTTTAAACTATAGTATTACCCACATAAAAGTAGCAAATAGGACCTAAAATCAAAGGTAGAATATATGTTCAACTATTTAAAGGATTTGATTGCAAACTAAACTTCTAGTAAAAGTGACAAAAAGCCACAGCTTTGATGCAAAATTTCTTTTTTTTTTAACTTTATTTGACACCACTTGGTAATAGTCATCATAGTGTAATCACTTCCAGAGACACCCATCTTTACAGCGTCAACCAAACAAAAAGGATTTCTAAGAGGCATTTTCAAAGACGTCCTCAAATCTTGTCTTAAGAAGCCGCATATGAAGTGTTATCTGGACCATTTTAAAGATTTTAAATCTATATTCATAGCCATCTATGGATGAAGCTATTTCACTGTTACTGCCACTGTGCAGCACTTTCTAAACACTTGCAGATTATCAATGAAGGATGTGTATTCTGTATTCTTGCAGCTCTCTGGCTTGTTCACAAGTCTGGTTGTTCTGATAGTCTTGCTGCTGATTGGACCGCTGTTCCACTTTCTACCCAAGGTGAGTATCTTGGAGTGTATCTCTGCAAGCATAAGAGAGTGAATAAAACAGAAAAGCCCTCATCTTTTTTTCTTTTCCTGTCTCTCCAGGCGGTGCTGGCATGCATCAATGTGACCAGCCTCAGGCAAATGTTCCTACAGTTCCAGGACTTACCTGAGCTGTGGAGAATCAGCAAGATCGACTTTGTAAGATCAATGATTGGTTTAGCAACATAAGGCATTGAAGTAAAGATATTTTAAAATCACCTTTATCCATGATAAGAACTTGGCTGGTATCACCATAGTTTTAATACCTTCATTGTTAACAGTCATATCCTGATGTGATTAGATGGTATTGTCTCTGTGCAGATGGTTTGGGTGGTTACCTGGCTGTCTGTGGTGATACTGAACGTCGACCTTGGCCTTGCCATCGGGGTGGTTTTCTCCATGATGACCGTCATCTGCCGCACACAAAGGTACATTTCCTGTCAGTTTGGCACAAATACATCCATGCAAACCTATTTTTGCACTGGCCTTATTCTGTATAAAAGACATGCTGTACACATTAAACAGTTTACACATGAAATTAGGTAATCAGACTGATCTGCAGCAAGAGCTCTGTCATAGATGTCCTATAGGATTGATTAATTATATTTCTTTTTTATATTGGAGCTTGAAACATAGAGATACAGACAATTGACTCATATCTGTGGTAATGTATTGCTTTATGTTGTATTAATACCAATACCTCATTATCCAAAAGGGCTAGTTGTTCAGTGCTCGGTCGGGCCAGCAACACAGAAATCTACAGACCCCTTGAGAACCACAGCAAGGTGAGAGGCAGCTATCTATCTATCTATCTATCTATCTATCTATCTATCTATCTATCTATCTATCTATCTATCTATCTATCTATCTATCTATCTATCTATCTATCTATCTATCTATCTATCTATCTATCTATCTATCTATTTCTCTATATCTGTATAGAGAGATATAGATATATAGATATAGATGCCTGGGTCTCTTTCCTTACACTTAACTCACTTGTAAAACTCCTTGTTCCAGAATTATATAACCCCTTATCTCAATAAAACAGTCTTGTTTCCTCCCAGTGCTATGAGGTACCAGGAGTAAAGATCCTGACCTACAACGGGCCTATTTACTATGGCAACCGCAGCTTCTTCAGAGAGGAGATGAGCCGGCTACTGGGCCTGACGCCAGAGAAGATCCGCAGTCGCGAGAAGGCCAGAAAAGCCCTGGAGAAACGGGAGAGGGAGACCACTGTCAACACTGTGGTACAGTTCCAGCTTTTTACCAAACGAGCTGAGTTACAACAAGCCCTTCACAGAGTAATGTCCAGTTTTATATCAATGTCTTGTTTTTTTCTTTCTTTTTTAGGAAAGAGGCATCGCAAACACATCGTTTTCTTCAGAGAATGAGTTTTTCAAATCTGGTGCGTATAATAATGTGTGTGTTATTTCATGTGTTACAGTAATACTGATTAAGAACATATTGTAAAAAAACATACTGTGTTTTTTTTAGATTTTCTTATTTTCATCATGTCCTTCAGGTAATATTAGTCAATTCTGTTCTCTTTGCTATAGAAACCTCTGAGAGTGACGTTCAGGCAGTGTTAATCGATTGCAGCAGTGTTATATTTGTGGATGTTGCTGGAGCAAGACTCTTTACACAGGTAAGTCATAATATTGTGAATATGACTCTTCTTTTCCTCTATGCATCATTTTCATGTGACCAACTACTCTGTGCTTTCTGCAGATGTGTACTGAATGCCAGAAGGCTGGAGTTAATGTATATCTGGCCAACTGCAATGGTAAAGACATTTAAAAACTTTTTTCAAAATCTGTCTGTGCTTTATTTTCTGTTTGAAACTCTTTTTGGAGAGTGGATTTTTTAACTGTTTTAGAATTATTTTGCGGACACTGATCAATGACCTCTATCCTTTCAGAAAGCGTCTTAAAGATCCTCACATCCAGTGGTCTAATGAACTTCATGAACCCTCAGCACATATTCATCACAGTTCATGATGCAGTGATGTATATTCAGCAGCAGAAGGTGAGCTAAAAAAACCACAGTCTTTCACAAAAGACACATTTATTTGATCTGTGTTGAGCTCGTTCTTATTCAATCATGATGTTGTAGGAAAAACCTCTGGAGAACAGCACCACAGTCTGGGTATGAGACAGGAGGGCATCAGACAGGTGTCCAGGACCAGTACAGGTGGAGAACATGTATTTTTGTTACATGAGAAGAGGCGATGTCTCAGCACAGCAACTCTCCAGCCTTTGGTCCAAACTGTACTGTAAAGCAGCATCCAAAGAAGCAGTAGCCTGCTGTAGCATTTACATTTAATTACAGTGGTAACAGTTTTTCAGACCTGTTGGACTTCCATAAAATTCAGAAGCAGATCATTCAAAGACATAAACTACATTTAAGTGTGATAAATCTGTTAAACAAGTCTTATTTTTGGCTTTAAAATGTGTATGAAAAAAAACAAATTATTGTGATAATCAATTGTTCAGTTTTTTTTTTGTTGTTGTTGTCATATATGCTGGAATATTACAATAGTAATATTTATTTAGTTTCTGTTTGCAATACAGATACATTTAAGGTGCACTGAATAGTTTTGTAAAATACTTTGTGTATTTATATCTTTGAAAATGTACTTAATGTGTAACTGTGTGAGTAAATGCCATTACATTATGTCTTATATAGATTATTTTGTAAAGAGAGACTGCACAAACTGTTTTATAATGACTTTTATAATTGTCAGGAACTGAACTGTCATGGCGCAGATGTTTTGACAATAAATATGTCTCCAAATGCAAAAATTCAGATTTTTTTTTTATAAGCAGCAAGAGAAATTAGGGTTGTGGTTGTAGCATATACTTGGATTGAAGAGGTGTTATTATACTGTAGGTAGAGTATGAGAGGCCAAAGTTTGGAATGTGAAGCATGTTTCTCTACCAGATTATGATAAAGGAGGAGAAGAAGAGCACTCTTTGTATTTGCAGAGGCACTGTAGACCTGTATGCCAGGGTGAGAAATAATAAACTGTGGAAATACAGGATAGATGGGGGTATGATTTGCAACAGCAATAAGTAAACCTGAAAAGGGCAAAAGTACAGAGAAAATTGGGCTGATGTCAATTTTTACAAACTTCTTTCTGTTGGATTTAAAAATGTCTGCTGGTCAGTAAACAAGAACAACAAAACCCTTGGTTAAAGAAATTAAGATGAAAAGCACTGCGGTGTATTCTATTTATTTAACCTGAAGTGGTATTTTACCATCATGCTGCCCTCTGCTGTCCAACACTTCAAGGTTTTCCTCCCACTCCTCCTCCTCTTCGTCATTGTCCTGTTACCTTGACCTGATAAAACTGTACACAGTGTGAGTTCAAAACCAGGACAAAAAAGGGAAAAAACTCATTATTTCTGTGCTTGATGTTGGACAGCCCAGTTATTAATTTTTTCCAGTGCATATTTCAAAGAGGCCTCTAGACACCTTACCCTTTGGGTTTTTCCTTTAAAGCTAAAGGAGTGTTTCGCTAATTGGCTAGAAGTAGTCCACTTCAATTAGAACATGGTGGTACACACCGCTGTGGCCAAATGTTTACAAAGCCAAATCCTACCAGCAGATATTCTAACAAACACACACACACACACACACACACACACACACACACACACACACACACACACACACACACACACACACACACACACACACACGGTAAACCATTCAATGACAGTGCTTTGCTTCATTACTCATGAAAAAGCGTATAAAGGTAGCATGTGCAGTATGCTCTTAATTTTCTTCGATCCACCTAACAGCCAGAAAATGAAATCAAGAGCAACAACAGCATGAAAAATACAGCATGATGTTGATGATACAACTGATCAAAAAACTTCCTAACAGATAACAGAAGACAAGGGAAACATTTGGTTATTTGTATAATTAGATTATCTCAGTTTAAAAACTGAAACAACAAAGCACAAACATCTAAAAACCTCCAACCAGCCAGGTATGCTCTTGCATTAAATAAAATGATGCTGTGACTTTGACTTCTACTAATACCACTTACTTCCTATCTTACTGATTGAACTGTCTCTATCAACAATGATTATAATAACAGTTCTCATCATGACAACCATTTCACTTCTACTGACAGAGCAGAGACCAATTTTCCTTGAACCCTTCTCTGATCTTTTGTTTCCATCTTGTGGTGAAATGTTGTAATGACACTACGTAAAAGGGTCACATGACTTTCAAGTCTCACAGCCTGCAGCCACCATAGTTGGAGTGACTCAAGTTTATCAAGCTCAGTATTTGCACATTTTGAACCAAAATTACAATCACACGGCACAATTAGACATTAATGTCTACGCCCTCTATGATGTAAAAACTTACTCAGATCTTCAACCTTTTAATGATATTTATATTTTTATTTATTTACCTTTATTTAACCAGTTAAATAAAGGTAACCCCGCCAAGAGGTTAGCAGCACATGTCAAAAGAAAAGTTACATAGAAGTGACAGCACAGATTAAAACATACAATTTTGGAGATGCAATAGTGCTTACTTTAGTCCATTAAATACAGTATGTCTAATATTTGACCTACTCTTTCATTTACTCCATGATTTTTTTTTAAATATAAAGTCTTTTTTGTTTAACTGTTTCATCATTGTGAGAAAAAACAGCCCTTTCAGTAACTTAATTAAAGCATGACAGTGAGCAGCACTGAGATCAGTGCACTCTTCAAACAGCTGGTAAACCACAAACACACAAAGAAGTCCGGAAGAAGAAAAAACAAGCTGGTCTGCAGTTTTGCATGTTATTTAAATACTGAAGGCCTTCTCAGAGCATGTCATGTAAGACATGTTTTACATGTCACGTGTAAGACAGCAGCTGAAAAGATCTAATTTCATATTCGCCTTCAATACACTACAACAAAAAGGGGTGTTTATCAACAGACTAACAAAAAGCAAGTGTAGAGCCACTTCTTCAGCTGATAACAGAGGCCGAAATGTACATTTAAAAGACTTTTCTGTAAGGGTGAACTTCATGACTTTTAATTGTATTTTGTTTCATGGATATTAGAAGCTCTTGAAGTTGCATGTTTACAGTGACATAACATTTTTTTTATGAAAAATTCCCACTGGCCACTACAGGTATTTTAAAATTAGCGGGGGAATACACCTGCTGTTCGTTGGTCCACTAATGGTGCTTCAGTAACGTTGGCCTTTCAGAGGGCAGCATAACCAGCTGGGACTAAGGGCTTTCTTCATGGTTAATGTTTAACTTTTCTCACATACACTAATAGCTGTTTGTCAAGGTAAGGCCGCAAAAAAATCAACACCTCTATTGAGCCTCTGTGTGCGCTTCAGGCTGCAACTGCATTTAAAAAAGTGTTCAGCAAAAGTCTGCGATGACTTGAACTGCTTAAAGGATCCTTTAACTTTAAGTGATACCGCAGCTTTTTGAAGGATGAAATTAAGTGCAAATCAAGCTCTATCAGGGATGTGTCAAACAGCTGATATTAAAAAGGGCAAATAGGAAAGATGTGTAAGTTTGTGTTAATATCTGTGAATCTGTTGGGTCCTTCAACACAGATCTGAGTAAACAAGGCAGTGACTAAGGAAAAGTTATAAAACAGTCAGAACAATAACTAAAATCAGAAAGAGCCGAGTAGCTATCACCAATGAGATACACAGAGACTGAAATGAGTTATCTTTATGCAATCAGATATGGATTGTTTTTAAAATAGCTACGCAAGCTATACCCAGATTTTTTGTTTGTTTTATACAATGCACTAATTTGATATTAAATGAGGATATGTCTGAGGCAGTACATGTCAAGCTTTATTACATATTTATGCACCTCCATTGCTTAAAGTGCAAATGATGAGAAGCTTTCCAAAAGCTCGATAACTCAAAACACTGTACAACAGTTTAACATATAAGGCAATACACACAGCGAGACACAACAACACTGCTTTGATGCTGGACAGTTTAGAGCCAAATGCATGAGTTACATTTATGTCACTAATAACTTAAAAATGCTTTTAAAACCATAACAATTCCCTGAGTGACAAACTTGTCAAATCTGCATGACTGAGTTTTGTTTTTTTTTTAGTTTAGCGGCCGAGTTGAATGTCATTTAAAAGAAGATATTGAGGTTATGGACACATGGGTAGAATGCTTTAAAGCATCATTTGAAAACCTACATATATTCAAAAATAAGAGTTAAGTTAAAGGAAATTAAAACAGGCAATAATTTCAACAGTATGAGATGTCACTACAGACTACACATATAGAGTATCAGCAGGTAGTTCTTCTTTTTTCATGTTTTGGGTGTAATATTGACTATATTTAACAGCTCTCTGTTCCACTCATGCCCCTGATTTGAAAAAATCAGACCAAAGCAGAATAAATACATTCAAATTTCTGAGGAGAGGCATGGTTGGATCCCAAGCACAGTACAAGAGCTGACTCAGAGTCCTTGAAACTAAATCAGCTGTTGTACCTTGACATCAAATGTTGCACGAAGTTAACCATTGCATTTAAATTGAAATGCTGCTGCTACATCCGTGCAATTACAACTTTGTTCACACTACAACAACACAGCCTAAACATTAACCACAACTGGACCACTAGATCATAAACTTCGGTGCAGCTATTGACACACTAACTATTTTTGTCTCCTTTGCGAGTTACTGATTCACAATTTCAGGAAATGTAAGTGAGACACAAAGGCTTTCGGAGCAGTGATCTCTATAACATCCTGCAGCATCTGTCTGTGTACAAGAAAAGACTCTGTTTCCTTTAACTTTGACAGTCACTGTGCATATGGACAGCAATAGAGGAAATGCCAAAATGAAAAACTTCCCGGATACATCTTGTGGTGCATTTATACTGTGAATGGAGGTCTCTAATTTGGCTCTCCAGTCCATACAAAAAAGTCATAAAATGTTCACAGAACAAAATCTATTAACACAAATTTTAAAAAGTAGTGCTGAGGCAGTAAAAAAAAACGTTCAAAAAGAAAAATCCTTCTTTCTTTTGGGGTCTACAAGTTCCCTGAAAATGTTGGCTCATTTTCACAACAGTATTCCTCATCTTCCTCAGGTTAAGGCAGCAAACAGATATGAGAGACTGCAGGTTTCAGTTGCTGGTCATGCACTTGAATCTGTTCTTAAAGTAGTAGATTTCATTATGAAGATTGTCGTCAGAGTTTGATTGTGTGTAGCGGAATTTATCATAGGCCTTTTGTTGGTCTGATTTAGTCCAGGGTAGTTTGATTTTTGATGCATGGCTCACTATGATGTCACTACAGGAGCCGATGTGGAGGGAGCCCAGAGCGTCAACGAAGAACTCTGCAGTGTCAAAAGAAGAAAAAAATGTTTAGAATAACCCAATCTTAAATTTTGTATCACATCCACTACAAACTGTTGTTTTATTTATTTGATGGACAATATTCCAGATACACTTTACCTAGATGACCCTGCCGTGCCAGGCGGGGGTTGAAGCCGACCTGCTGTAGCTTGTCTGTCCTTCCCATGAAGAAGTTAATGACTGCATCAGCCACCACACAGTTTGGAAAACCATCAATAACATGATGGTAGCCTTGTCTGATGTGCAAACAGTCGCCCTCTTCTCCCCCTTCCTCGACTGACATAGTGTGACGAAATGTGGCAGTGTAACCGGTCACCTCTCTAACTGCACCTCCTACCTAAAGACAGAAAGATATAGAAGATGTTTGGTAACATAATTCACCTTTACACACAAGAATATGTGCGTAAGTCTCACAGAGGGCAGTTCCCACTGTAACATGCAGGTGGTGTGAAAATAAAACAAAAGTCACCAGCCACTTTACAACACACCGTATCTTGATATTTCATCATTTTCAGTCACTGCAAGAGGAAAACGGTTTCTGTTCTAACAGGAAGTGAGCAGTTGTATGCAAACCACCTCTTAACTGACACCTAGACTGAACAATTTCGCATCTTTACTGCCTGTAACCATCAAGCTGAAGATCCCCCACCACCCCAGGCTCATCTCACAAAAGGTCAAACAGTTTTTTTCCTTTACCATGGTGGTGGTGGGGGAGGTGGGGTTAGACACCCTGATATCTTCTTAGTATAATTCCACTAAAGTTACCATAAACGCAGCAGTAAACTAGTGATCAAACATAAAAAGAAGGTTGCTGAGGACTATTTAGTCCTCCTTTAGGAGCTGCTGATGTTAGATGCTTAATACCTGATCTTAATTTGCTTCAGCATGTGTGGCTTTTGCTGAATGTAATTGTCTGAAGCTAAGGACTCTTAGCAAAACGGAAAAGTGCAAAAATCTTTAACCTCCTTACTAATCGAAATGAATTTGTGGGATTTGAGTGCTGCCCCACTGTCCCTTAAACAAGTGTGTGAGGACCCTGATACAGTCTACACAGCTGTAAATGAAACTCTAGCACAAGTAAAGTCAGGAAGACTGTTTTCTACATGCTGATTTATTTTTCTTTTCTTTTCTTTTACTATGAGTTGCACTTTCTCTTTCACCCATGCTTACTCATATTTTCCTGTAGTCAGTAGCTGTTCTTATCTCCTTATTTCCACTTGACTAACACATCCTCACTGTCAGCCTGCCATACCACTACTGTCTGTTTTTGCCATTTTATTTTCAAGCAGACAATGAGGAGAAAGAGCAGGAGGTGACATGCTTGGAGAGACTGGAATCCAACCTTGGCTACCTGCTTGAGACATAACCTTCAATTATGACACATGTGCTTGGACAGCAAGGCCAGTGTTGTCCAAGGTTTTCTCAACCCTCTATTTCTCAATCACAGTCCAGTTTTTGTAGCACCATCATCACACCAGTCTAAGTTAAGGACATCAGGATAATGGTATCCATTGTCAGCAGAGGTCTAGAGATTATAAATGAAAAAAAAAAAAATCATAAATCAGCTTTCTGTGTCTCACCATATCCAGAGTGGTCTTCTCCAGGATGTCCACCATCATTTCCAGCTTGGTGTTTGCAGTGAAGATAAAATCATCGTCGGCCCAGAGCACGTACTTAGTGGTCACTTGAGACACTGCCAGATTCCTTCCTGCAAACCATCCCTGTGAGAGGAGAGATTTGTCCCTGAGCTATGCTGCTTAGAGGAATAAAGAAATTATATTTTACAGAGAAGTCAGCCTGTTAACCTTTCCAAATGGCATGATGTAGTGTTCGATGTAAGGCCCGGTCACTGGCTGGGGGTGCTGATTATCATCTGCTATCACTATGGTGACAGTGGGATAATACTGTCGTATGCTGTTGATGAGATCGTTGAGTTTGTCGTAGCGCAGAAAGGTCTTGGTGGCGATGGTTACAAGAGCACTTATGTTGTATTCTGTGAGAGAAGAATATAATGTCTAAGTTTGATTATCCAAAGAACTAACCATAGACTGTATATACTATGGACAACTTGGTTCCGCCTCCCGCCTGTATACAGATTTGAAGCCAAAAAGCTCTCGGTATTTCCGGGATATTTCTTCATTTCCTGAAACCAGCACTGCACAGTAGCATTGTGTGCTTTCGGCCGGAGAGTTGCCAAGAGTTGCTGTGATGACGCTCGGCTCAAACAGCGTATCCCCGGGTGAGCTACACAATCCCTGTATGCCAATAGGTTGTATCAGGTGTTATTTAAAGAAAACATAGACCCCCTAATAACTTTTAAAAATGGAGCATCACAGAAAAAAAGAGGATTTGAGCACAAACCAGTCTCACTGTAACTACATGTCAACACCGCAAGCAAGGGGGAGAAAAATTTATGTTCTGTGTAATAAATTTCTAAAGTTTGTCCACAGCCCCATAAGCTTTGCTGGCGGAGGCGGGATTTATGACCTATATTGCAACCCATCAACAGAGGGTGCTGTTCTCGGAGTGGCTTCACCCAGCAAGGAAGCAGACGCTGTCCATTCTATTTACAGTCTATGGAACTAATCTGGTGCAGTAAACACTTCTTTCAAAATAAAAGTCTCACTGTGAAAGGAATGCTCACAAACCTTTTTGGGATCCAAAGTTGTAAAGTGTTGGCATTGTTCCATGTCCAACTTTGATGGTGAAGAAAGCGGAGTGACCTGTAGTTGCAAACTGAACTGAACAACAAAAGAAAAACAGAGTTGATGGTTTCAGCTCTTCAGTGGAGCAAGTGATAAAAAGTTAATGTCTAACATCCAGGACTTCAAACGTCAAAATAGAAATAAACCCTTATTTTAGTCTCCTGGTACATTCAACCTATAGGAAAGTGTCAGGAAGTAGCAATAATATGAACTCATTGTTACATGTTTGCAGTCTGAGGAATGGTATCAGATAGAATTACAACACAGATTTTTACTTGACTTCTGGTTTAGAGGCACACAGGGGATCTGAGGTTCCTAACACTCCCTTTTTACTGTTACATCTGTTTCCCCATCTTCCTCTTCCTCCTCATTTCTCTGGTGTTTCTTTTACTTTACAAAAATGTAGAGCAGCTCTGATGGAGGTGGATTTTGGGGCTTTGTAAAAGTTCAGCTGTGCTTTTATTCGCTGGTGTAGCCGCAGGTGTGTAAGAGCTGCCAACAATGTACAACTGGATGCTGACCTGAGTGTGACCCCAACCTTGGGAGATGTCAACTGTATCATAAACAATGCAAAGTTTGCTAGTTTATCAAGATAAATTATTATTAAGATGTGACCTTGTGTCACATGATAGCTTTTATAGCCTTCTTATTTTTCCACCAATATTGTGTAAAGATGCAAGACAAAAAATAGTCAGACAGTTATCTGCGTAAGTTTAAGTCCACATGTAACATTATTGAAGGCTATACTCAATGATCCAGTGTTATGTGTGGGTTGGTGAAACTTGTGCGCTTTTCTTTTGGCAGTGTGTCTTATATTTATCAACCTAACCTCCTCTGTAAGCCACCTGATGTTCAAAGCTGTTTTGAATGTTTAGTACTTCAAAGAAATCAGGCTCGGGTTATTGGAAGCAGGCTGATTTACATAGATAAGTGTGTCTGTATGGTTGCTGTCAGTGCCATAGACTTTTTTTCCTGGCTACACTTGTGCTAATATTACTCACTGACTTTACTTAATATGGATGAGGAGCCCTCATCCATATGACATCGAATGAAGCCAAAACAAACAAGTTTTGCTGATTGAAATTTAATCCACTAAGAATGTAGTGAATGCTGATGGAGTTTACTATTCAAACTAATCTTTATGCTACATCATCACTTGTGCATACACCTGCCAAGCTAAGAACTCTCATATGAAAAGTATGTTTCCAAGAAGAAAATATTTTAGATGCATTTTAACTTCTCAGTTTGACCCATGTATGCTGCTATAATGACCGAGGGAGGCTCTAAATGTCTTGGCTTCAGCGTTTGGGAGGGTTGGCGTCATCCATTTTCTAATCCAACCATTGATGGCTTTTACTCTTACAATGCATGTAAAAATTATGTTAATTTGGATATTGTCCTTGTTCAAATTAGGGTTGCTGTAGTATGCAAGAATGGACAAGAACTGTCTTTATTAAATTATTAAATATGAGTATTGTGCTATTGGTACTAGGAGTTCATAACTAGGGTTCTAGATCATTTGTGATTTGCTTACGTGATGCTCCAAAGAAGGACTCTGTTATCTATAACCAATCAACAACCAGAACATGCTGGTGAATCAAAGTAATCCAATGATGTCTCCTTGTTTCATTTTTAATGCTACTCTGTGTAATTGTGACAAACTGACTTTAAAACAATAGAAGAACATGTCATGATATCAGAAACTAAATCAGGAATAGCAAAAAGATGTACTACCTATATTTATCTTTTCCCGGTTTACATTCCCACATCCTATTACATGATAACTAGCCAAACGATAACATTAACCAACCCCTCAGTTTGCTCATGCCCCTGATCTGACTCATTTGTTAGTGTTGAAGATTAGCTGGAAGTGGGAGGACATGGCAGCTGTGAGTCTCCGCTGGTAAGTGAGATTTCAGTTCTGGTGACTCAGTTTGTCAAGGGGGTCAATGGCTAAGAACTCAGAGCAACTGGAGGTGCATATCCCTCTTTTCCTTCTTCCTCTTCTGGCACACTTTTTAAACTAATTTTTCTTTAGCTGTAAACTCATTGATTGTAGAGTCATTTTGGCCTGAAAAGAGCTGGTGAGTTTCGGTTGCTTCATCAACCATTGCAAAGTGTTAAATTATTTGCATTCAATTCATTTCATGCATTAAATAAAAGCTCAACTTGTGATGGAGACTCAATCTTAATAAGTGAATAGGAGGTAAACCCTCCCAAATTCACTTCCTGCACAGTGTTTAAGTGATTACTGGTCTGCTTCCTGTTATTCTCTTTATCCGTACCAAACAGGCTATCGTAACATCTGTATTTGGATTGTCTGGTTTATCTATGAACGATATGGTTGAATCAAAGGTTGCTGTTTTTAAGTTGCCCTGTTATGCCTCAGTTATACTGCTCAATATGTTCTAAAACAATAGAACCTACAGGGATAAGAAACAAACTTACAAGCGTTACTTTCAGTCACTGGCCGATCCAGTTTATATTTCAACAATGTGAGGCTTTGTTGCTGGACAAATATTGCTATGAGAATCCTGTGGGTGGGCTTTGAAAGTCAGGCCTGTTACAACCACATCCTGGCAGACATTGTTCTCATTCTTTCTATACTGAATTACATTTTATAATGATATCATGTTTTTCTCATATTAAAGTGCAACAAAGGATTAAATTGAAGGTGAACGAGTAAGTCGTCTGCCTCACTGACTGTAGCTCTAAGGGACATTATGAGACTGAATCCAATTGTGATCTATTTCTTGGGTAAACATGTCTCTGTTTATGTAAATACTTCCTTAAACCATCTTACTTGTGTCTGCTGTCCTGGGGTGAAACACGGTGTTTGTGTATGTGACAAACTGCAGCTGTCTGTTCAGAGCAGAGAGGACAGGACTCCACACGGTCATTTGTTTCTCTCCCACCCCCGTCACGTAGACCCTGTCGACTGTCGCTGCTACATCAAAAGTCCCCAGAGTCGCTGTCAAATGTACCTGTAGGACCATTAGCATGGTTTTTGAAAAAAAAGAAGAGAAAATCAACCACAACGTTTGAGGTGAAGACCGAAAAACTGGGTCTCTACTGAAAACAAACAAGAAAGAAAATGAAAGTTACCGAATGGTTTGACTGTTTTTCTTCTTTCAGACCAAGACCTGAGGGTAAATAAACAATGATCAAACACAGCACTGTGGGATAATGATGAAGCATTTTAAATGTCTGACTTAAAAAAAATTCATAATATGATGTTAAAGATGCTTATTTCTGATCAAATTTAAGGTGTGACGATGGATATGCTGTTACCAGGAATGATGATGGTTTTGAGGGGTCGCACCTTCACACCCTGTGTTGGGTACTGAAGAGGACTTTGAGCTTCAGCGACAACCAGCACATCTGTAGGGTCATAGGATCTACAGGAACAAAATATATTAGCCAGGAACATACAGTTAAAAAATCAGGGGCAACTTCAATAAAATGCAAATACCTCAACTGCCTCTTCATTCTCAAAGCACAAAGAATTGATAGAATTGTAGTGTAAGATCCCTTGTAAAATGACCCCCTTTAGAGCAAAACTTTCATTTCACAAACAACAGCACTAACAGCTTGTCTGGATGATTGAAACTATTTGTAGCATTAGGGCGGCTTGCTCAGGGTTGACAGAGATCTTGTATGACTGGAAAAATAATTGCTGTCTTTATTTAAAGTATAAATCATACCAGACTGTAACTTTATTGACGGTAGCATCCAGAAAAAAAAGGATAAATCAGAATTTCAAAGCAAGTATCAGAGCTGATAATGTTAGCAAGTAAAACCCAAGTGGCCACAACCCCCCCTTTTATGGAATCACTTCCTAAATTCACTTAAGTGATGATTTAATTTAAGGAACCAGATCATATTCACACAGCAGGTTAATAGTAAATGGACCGTGGCTTTTCTTGTCTATATCACCACTCAAAGGGCTTTAACACTACTCTTTACATTTGCACATTCACATTACATTCATCGTGTATAATCAGAAAGTCTAAGGCTGCTCTAAACAGCCAGTCTGTTGAGCTCATGTTTGTTAAACTACATTATATATGTGCTAAACTGTTAAACTATAAAAAGCAGCATAAAAAAAGGAACAGTGTACGGCTGCAGTGGAAGAACAAGGTGCCTGACACAAAAGTGAATGATGCTATTATGTCACTGCCATGGTAACTTCCACAGTTTCCACAGACTTCCTTAAGCAAAAGCGACAGCATTTCCTGTCCTACCTGTTTTTCTACACACTGTCAGTTTATATTTCTACATAAAATCCAGCCTGACAACATCAACCTTTCTTCAAACGATCTCTCCTCCATTTTAATGTTTCTTACCCTGTAGCTGACACTTGAGTCCGGTTCCCCCATCAAAATCATATTACAGCACAAAGCTGACGTCAAAGTTACCCCAAGGCAGCAAAGTGCATTGACTACTCTCACAACAAAGTGTTCATGCAAAGATGCAATGCAAATAAAGCACTAAGGCAAACAAGTGAAGGTGTACCACACCAGGCATGTTCATATCAGCCTTTGAATAGACTTCCCTCTCAATGTATTGCTGTGTTCAGGGTTGAAAGATAGCTATCACCTGATTAAAAAAAGCATGACTGAAATGAGTCAAACTCTCCATTTTTCACAACACCAGGAAAGTGGCAGTGGCAGTCCGATGATTAAGCATGGGTGTGTTATTGTGTCATTGGCTGAAGTTTACCTCCTCTGAAAGCTCTGGTACTCCTTAGCTCTCCTCTGCTTCACCCCCTTTGGGTCAGGATGGGACTCTAAGAAAGCCATACTGATGTCGTGAGCCCATGCCTGAGGCCACAGCAGGTTTGAGAAGGGCAAGTTAACTGTCTTCTTATCAGCCACACACACACATGTGTTTCGAGCCAAACGGCTGCATCAGGAAGTAGAACAAAGTCAGGTATTTGATAGAAGGCAGAATAAGAGACAATAACAAGCAGCCAGAATAATAACATACCAAGCCGCATCCTCCTTTATATGGTAAGGAATGTCTTGAAAGTCATTGACAGCCTTCTGTAGTTTCCCATTGAGATTTGTATTTATTGGACTCCATTCCTTTGGCCGAATGTCAACCCTAGAGCTGTTCCCAGGACTCCAAATGTGAACTAGGGCCAGCAGAAACCCAAAAACCAGAATCAACCAAACACACTTCTTACAGGTGGCCCGCATCTGAAACAAAAGATAAATATGTAAACAGAATGTTTTTTTTTAAATAAAAATATAGGGCAAGTCTTTTGTTTCAGAGAGATCAAATAATGGTTCAATTTTGACGTTATACTAAACAACAATGCTAACAAAACTTCCATTTAACAGGGTGAAACCTTGAGTAGCACCATTTCACTGGTAAACAGCAATCTGGTACATAAACAGAAAAAAGGGAAAGAAAACAGCTAACTATGTTACCTTGAGTGTTTTTTAGTCCACGGAACTGTTTAAACTATCTTCTACACACTAGACCTTTGGCACATTCTCGGTTCATACCGCTTATCCTCCAGTCACTCTTAGTGGTGGCATGACATGCACTGATAACACAATCTGTGAGGATAGGGGTTAGGGCTAAGAATGTTGAGAATGAATACAGCATAAATTCTTTCAGGTCTGAGAGATTAAATATATCTAAGAGAGTTCTGCATTTACTTAGATTGGAAACTTTTCTGTAAAAAGTGAGGGCTAAGCAGTAACACTCATGAATTCACAGAAGTGTTACTATTACAAGATTGAAAGAGGTTATTTTTTCTTCCAAACAACCAAATCTGTTCACAAAATTCAACAGATTGTTAAATTTCACTCAGTGTGAATGCTGCCGGTATTTTTATAACTTAAAAAATGGATATGGTTTATGACAGTCTTTCCTGACAGATATGAAGCTCTGTGAATGTTCTAGATGCCCAAACTGCAAAAAAAAAAAACAGTTAATATTGTTTCTGATTATCAAAGTTCATCAAAAATCCTTATCCTGCTTTAATCTTGTCACTAAAGTGTGGCTGTGACAGGAAATATATATACACAAGACACACATATACAAAACACATAAAAAATGACCTGTTTTCACAGGAAACATTAAAATAAAAACAATGTACAGAAGGCAATGCTGTTACCACAACCCTTTTGCTTACATGTGAAATTCCCTTCCCCATTCCTATGTAGTGTCTGAAACCACTGTGATGTAAACTCTGATCTCTGTTACCACAGACTTCTCCAATATATAATACATGTCTCTACAACTTAACAAGCAAAGTCCAGACCAGTTGGTGTGAAACCTGAACACAGCAGGTACTTGATCACCAGGATCCTTGATGGCCTGTGTTTGTGAAAGATATCTCTATATCTGATCTCTTGGTGATGTACCTCCATGAACCACCTGTCGTGGCCTGCCTTTATAGACAGTCACTTTTAGTAAGACGAGTCCTTTTAAAACTATCCTCAACATAGGGTCAAAAGTGTTCGGTACAGGTTAATGTGAGGCATGCTAAAATCCACTTCTCTAGTTAAAACAGCCCATAATCTGTGCGTAAAGTAACAGTCGTAAATAGTTAGACTTCAACCTGCTATTCATCAAAACTGACTGGATTTGATATCAATTAGATCAATCAGGGTGTCGTCTTCAATTCTAGTAACACTCAGGCAGTATGTCGTCGGTCGGATTGCTTCCTATGAACGTTTAGTAGCTACTTTATTTAAATACAGTGCTCCGGTCGGACTGGTTTGGACTTTGGCCAATTTCCCTTTTACTTTCCACTGCCCGAGTGTAAGTGGAGACCGTCATGTAGTATCATTAAGTTAAACTGATCGCATCTGTAATGTCTGACTCACTCTCCCATCAGACAGGACGAGAAGTGCGTCTCCACCATTAGGATAAATGGTGTGTGCATTATCTCATGACGCACAGCAGTAACTTACCGCGCCACTGTCTCCAGGCAAAGCTTTCTCGTTCCTGAACACAAACGCTTTCTGTTCACTGGAAAAGCGATGCATTCATGGCTGCATTGATTAACGATGACTCTTCGACGCTCTGGACGGAAACGATAACTTCACTTGTTTTGTGTACTCGGCTATAGAGCAATGACACTTGCTGTGCGCGTTTTGGAGCTAAGTATTTCTGTCTTTGAAGGGCGGATACCTGTCAACCGGTTTGTTAGCAGAAAAAGTCATACAGGTGTTGACATTTTTTTTTTAATCTGATAAAAGATGAAGAAGAAGAGACAGAACCGGTAGGCTATTTAACTGCCACATGCTAAACTGTCCAAATATTTGATATCTCTATTCAAAGCAGAATAAACAAATAGTCGGAAGAGAGACAAAAAGAAATTCTTACTTTAGTCTTTTTTGTTTCTGCGCCTTAAACCTCTGGTCAGGTCAAATGAACCTCTGGTCAAATCTGATGTAATCTTGTATTGGAACTTGCCCTTCTTCGTTTGGATTCAGGGGCTGGGTGCGGTGTCTCCGTGCCGCTTCTCTTGAACCATGCGTAATTTTTGGGCAAGTTGCCTACTTTGCATAGGAGATGTTAAAAAAAGCATTTGTAGTCCTGGTCTTGGATTTAAATTCCATTTTGAAAGGATGGTTTCACTTCAGTCAGCTCTTAGAGTCGCTTCGTAAGGTTATGTCCTCAGTTGCTCCCCTCTTTCCAGCGTATTCACGTTTAAACATGCAAGGAAGCAATGCGGATGCAGCGAATAAAGGACCGGCTCTATGAGCAACATGGTTTGATTGTGAGTCATTGATTTCCTGAAACTGTTGTCAGAGGAAAAGTGTTTAGTGCGATAAGAACATGGATGTAAGTTACATTGTAGGATAGTTAAGATGCCCAGAAATCCTGGAGTGTGTGTTCAAAGGTCTATACTGATATCAGTTTTATTATAGCCAGTTGAAAAAAGTTGTTTTCAATTGAATAATGTGCAAATACCCATGAAAACCTGTAGGGGGTTGGACTAAAATAACATCTCAGAATTATAATTAGATAAATTAAAAATAATAATAAAAAATAAACTTAAGATGTAATAAAATCAGTCTTGTGGATAACTATTGACCTGTAAAAATGTGATTAAGACTTCATTCAGAGGAGAAAACGACATATAAATAAGCAAAGGCACATATATTTTATAAAATTTAGAGAAAAAATAAATTAAATGTAAGATATCCAAAATATTTCAGATAATGAAACATTGTTTCGTGAAATGCATACACATTTTATGTAACATAAAGCAATTCAATGAAACATAAAACATAGACACATTACATAGAAACCATTTTAATAAAATGCAAAAAAGGTTTAATGAACAAATATTTGAAGACACAAAACCCCACATTCATTTGATGTAACAACATCTTTGATACCACAAAAGTATTTCACAAAATATTTAAAACAGAAGTGTTTAAAAAAAAAATCCACTGACAAGTTAGTTTAAGTTTAAGGAAATAAAAAGCATTGGGCTAGATGTTTCCTGTGAGATAAGACTAAACATGTTTTGTAAAATGATTTCTTGTTCCATGTGCAAACTTATAATGCAAATAACGTATAACGTATAATTCTTTTAAACATTTCTTTGTGATAAGTTTTTGACATACAGTGAAATGTTAAAGTGTTCACTCAATGTTTATGCAGTTGATTTTCAGGGCAGCTCTTGTCCTCAGAGGATCTGTGATGTTGTTTCAGGTTCATCTGACGTTGTTCATTTCCATCTGATAAAAATGGTTTGACAAAGGTTCAGGAAACAGATTTTTTTTTCCTCAATACTAACTCAAACTCGTCACTGGCTGGAATACATCCACTTCCTCCTTTTTGTGTTACGTCACCAACACATTGTGTTTCCAGTTAAAGATTACAAAAGTATTGAGGGCCTGATAGCCTGAACTTTCAGTCTTCAAGAAGTTGCTTTCTCATGTCTGTTATACTATCAAGACTGTTCAAGAGCACTTAGAGTTTGGCCCACAGGTTGTAAACAGTTACCTGCTTGTTTGGCTTCTTGCTACAACAGCTTGATTTTTTTTATGGTGTTTGGACTTCGTACGCAGGTGTGCAAACACATTTTAATTCCTGACTTATTGGCCATTTAGTGCAAGTGTTTCATCTGGCTCATTGTTTGTACTTTTCTGTTTACCCTGTAGTGTTTCAACTTTGGCTAAGGCACAACAGGTTTTGCAGCAGGTTGATCTTTTATATAATATCTTTTGTTTCTACCTTGCCTTTCACAGATATTTTATTCTTTACTTGGAAAGAAGCATGCAAGAAATAACCCCACACAGATCACTGTACTTAATTAAACCAAATCTGTATTCTTGTCAGAGCAGTTAGACTGCTCTGACAAGAATATGTACATATCCTGTGATGGTATGGGCACAGTCCACACCTTAATAGACTTTGTTCTATCTAGTGCCACCCTGAGATCTTTGCTGCCACAGCAAAGCAACATCCTTAGAGAAACAACATTTTCACTGGATTATCGGCTAATTAGAAGAGACGGGCTACAAATGCAGAAATGGTGAAATTTTAAGACCTGCTGAGGGCACTAACTGTCCCAGTGGTGGAGTGCGAGAAACCATCCTCTTAATTTATTGTTTATCAAACCACAAAATGATAGATTGCATGACTGTTATTGTGTATTCAATGGTGGGACGAAGGGCAGGTATAAGAACTAATTGTATCTACCTCTACAGAACAAAATGGGATTAAATAAAGTGAAATGACCCGAAATGAAATGCATTTTGAATTTGCGTTTGCATTGTCCCACGCTCTTTTTGAAATGAAAACCTTTATGGCTGTTACAGTATGTTTGCACTTGTCGGCCCACATGACTTTCTGTTGTGCAGGTAGGGCAAGTTTTGCTGCTGTTATGACAACAAATATAGAGGCTCTGTAGTGAATTGCTCAACTGAACATGGTTTGATTTCATGCTTTATATCAGGTAAGGCAGCCATTTATTGATTCAAATAATGAAATTAAAGCTGGTTACAAAGGACTGATGATTAAGTCATATGATCTGATTCACACGGTTGAATCGCTTAAGCTATTTCTGTTCTTTTCTTTTTGCAAGTGCATGTTTCGATTTCAACCTTTTTTTTCTCCTGTTAGTAAGTGTGATGCTTATATGAGAAATACAGTATCTCTTAAGTTGTGTCATTTCATATACTTTGAACTGCATGCTTTGTCTATTAGAACTGCAGGATGACATGTATATCATAACACCGTCTGTGTTTGGATGAGCACCAGTCTGATATTTCTATTGCACAGGTCCTCAAACAATAAAAGTTGATATTACTCAATACCACGTTTCTCTCCTCTCTCAGTGTCGGTAAAGTGACCTTTAACCTCCTGGTTAGGGTTTACAGAATGTTATAAGGGAAGCCGACAATAGGAGAAGTTAACTGTTTGGTTTTGTGTCAATGAACTTAAACTAATAAAGGCTTTTGTTTCCCAAATCATCATGCAGCTCCTGTTCTAACCCCTCAGGGTGAGTTGCTCTAAAATTGATCATATTAATACATAACCCAAGCCATAAATAAACTGGGTAGATATAAGGAAGTAAGGTAGAAGGCCAAAAAGGAAGTATCATACTGACCTGTCCTCTGTAGATCTAGCTCATGATGAGAATATTTTTCAGGCTCTGTCTGAGTTGGATTGATCTATGGTCATATTGAGTTTTAAGGAAACGTTTTAATTTGTTGTGACTGATTTGTATTGGGTTGTATTTGTAATTTTTGCTCTCTATCACTAATCTGTTACAATCCATATAACACTGTTATGATATTTGTGTTAAATGGATTTTATGCTATTTTTTCATGCTCATGTAACTTATTCTAAATATATTTCAAATACTTATTGTTGTATTATTCTGACTTTATTTCCTCGTAGCACCCTATGGAGAAAGCAGATTCACTGGGTCTGTTTCCTGCCACAAGGCAAGACAATAAACATACTCTTTTAAGACAACTGAGCCCAGATGAGTGTTTATTTCATTCTATTTTATCCTGTGGAAATATGAACTGCAAAGAGTAACCAATCAACGTTGGACTCAGGAGATGTAGTTCACTAAAATCTCAACCGGGCTACAAGACAGTCATTTTCAAAGGGGATTAAACTATGAGTTTCAAGGTCCCAAAGAAATTGTGTATTTTCCTATTACATGCGAGTTTTTCTTAAATCACATACCAAATAAACGGCATTGTGAGGTATTTCATAACAGGATTGTAAACCCTGGCCTTGTGTTGGTAAAGTTAGAGTAGTTTGAGGTTTTTTGTTTTAATATTGGTTCAGTGTAACGCTTTTGTAAACTTGATTAGGGTGACATCTAGTGGACAAATTTGATATAGCAGTAGCTCAGCTCGTTTTTTCCGTCGACTCCTCTCTCTGTGGCGTTGAAACTCATTTTTAGAAACAAGAATGACAAGGCAACTGTTTCAACGAACAAACATAAAATTAAAACGTTGCTTTGTTGTCTCACAAGCGTTTAAGGACGTTAAGGACAGCTTCCTTAAAACGTCACTAGCAGCCAGCCAATCAGATGGCGCGTTTCAGCCGCCTAACCTGTCACGTTGGAAAATGTAAATCTTCAGTAGCTTTCCTCTGTTCAGCCGTTTACAGTACTGCAAATAAAAGTGGAGACGTTTTTAATCAGAAACACCACATCGGATATGTGCGACCGTGCCGTGACGCTATGATTGACAGCTAGCAGTCGTAAGGTTTTTAAGAGTCAGGAAACATGTCGCTCGTTCAGGGCTAGAAAGCGTCTGGTGTCTATGAATGAGAGAGCTCACAGCAAAGGTAAATAACACACACACTCGGTTTATGACCACATATTTATAAACTACAACAGCCACATAGCTGCGGGAAAGTACAAGGGTGAGATACCAGCACATGTTCAGATCTGTCTGGATTACGCACGGCCTTATTTAGCCGTCAGCAATCATGGTCATGTGTTTTTGGTGTAAACGGATTGAAGGTCTGGTCGACTCTCTTGAGGATATCATTTATCGTTAGGAAAAGGAGAAAAAAAAACATAAACTAGGGATACAAACAGCTCATGATTTGTTAATCTTTAACATCTGTGTCAGGTCGTTTGTCTTCAACCTCAGTTACTGGGCAAAAGACCCACATGATCACACTTTTTGGTAGTGACACACTGGCACTGTGTCAGGTTTAAAGTCCACGATCACAGGGGGCTCCATACAGGGGACAGTCTCCGTGTTTTTAATCCAGTTCTTGAAGCTCAATAAAGGGAGGCATGCGTGCTGGTGTCACTGGCACAAATACACATACACTGATCAGGGGGGCAGCTCTGTATTCCTGCAGAACTCTGTCAGGTTCACTGTAACTTCAATATTTGAGCTCAAACTGTGAAATCTAGTTGTATTTATTTCCAGCAAAGTGAAGCAGCTAACAGTGATTTAAGATTTACTTGTGCAAATTCCATGCAACAATGAACAATGAACAAAGAACCTTAAAATATCCCCTTAAATCCTCAGGTGGGAGATCAGATCCCAGGGGACACTGCTTAAAATGTACATCTACATTTGCACATCATGAAGCAAACACACTTCCTGGTGCATAAATAGTATAAGATTTCATAGGTTTTTGTGATCTGGGGGTTGAAGAAGGTGCTGGTCTATGAAACCTTTTCATGGTTATTAATACTTCAATTTTTTTATGTCATTGACTTATTTTCCATGTAGACATGCTGTAACTGGGACCTCGCAGAGCTGGAGACTGTGTCACCATGAAGGGCTCCAGCTCCAGATGGGCCTTCTTCCTGGGCGTCCTGGTGGGGGCCTGCAGTGTCTACTTCTTTGCGCACCAGGTGTGGTTTGAGAAAAGCTACCCTGTGCTGTCAGAGACTCAGGAAAAAGCCAGCACCGTGGGGGTGACACCAAACAGCTGGAGGAAGGAGGGGGGTGCTCTCATCAACCTGCTCCACCCTCACCATGCAGGTGCTTAGTATTCTTTCACACTGGCTTTTTAATGAGGCACTTATTTGGTGTGTATGGCGAGAGAAATAGATCACCCTCCATTATCAGGTCCCGTGATCCATGCTATTGTCTTGGTACAGTGAGGCATATCTGAACAGTGGCAAATCCATGCTGGGTAAAATTCTCATCCAAACAAGCCATACACTTCTTAACATCTCCCTACAATCAATATAATAAAACTGTTTCACTACAATGTCTCTGCACCTTAAAGGGATATTCCGGTGTAAATTAATTTAGGGTCAAACACACCATAACACTGACTTAGACACCCCGTCGAGAAACGAATGTTGCCAACCGCTTGCTTCTGTAGTTATACCAACTTTAGTAACGATCGCAGGATAGCAATAACTGTGGTCTGAGGAGCCATAAACAAACCTCAACCAAAACACCACTCTATAGCCACAAATAAGCCACATCTTTTTAGCTTTGCCTAATTTCTTTAGCAAAGAGACTAAACAAAACTCACCTACTCTCTTCTAGCAGCTGCTTGTTTATAGCGAGACCTCAGGCCAGTCCATTACAGACTGCAGCGGGGTGACGCAGCTCAAGGAAGAACATTTATGATCATTTCTTCATCATTTCCTTGAAGTAATAATCATCATATTAATCATTTTGCACTGCAGACACGGTAGTTCTTCTGCCTTGGCGTCTCGTTCTGGTTGCATTTACATGAAGAAATGATCATAAATGTTCTTCCTTGAGCTGCGTCACCCCGCTGTAGTCTGTAATGGACTGGCCCAAGGTCTTGCTACAAACAAGCAGCTGCTGGAAGAGATCTCTTTGCTAGAGAAATCAGGCAAAGCTAAAAAGATTTTTGGTGGCTAGTACTATGGCTTGGACCCTATATGTACTGTTGATGAAGTTAGGTGCTGTTCTGAGCATTATTTGTGGCTATAGAGTGGCGTTTTGGTTGTTTATGGCTCCTCAGACCGCAGTGTATTGCTTTCCCTCTTGCCTCCTCTAGAGAAGCAAGTGGTCGACAACATTCATCTCTCGAGGGGGTGTCTAACTCGGTGTTACGGTATGTTTGACCCTAAATTAATTTTACCCTGGAATATCCCTTTAAGATCAGCAGTCCATGATGACAATACCTGGTGTCTTATTCTGTCATTAGTGCCTTTAGTAATCATTACTCAAAGATTTTTTCTCATCAGTCATTTAAGTGGTAAAAAGGAGTGAAAATAGGAATTAGGGATTTAACTTTGTTGTGTTGTTTGTTGTGTTACTGTAGATGAAGACAGCCGGGTTGCAGATCTGTTGTACCAGAAGGTGCGTGTTCTATGTTGGGTGATGACAGGGCCGTACAACCTTGAAAGCAGGGCCCAGCATGTCAAGGCTACCTGGAGTCGCCACTGCAATGTGGTGGTGTTTATGAGTTCAGTGGAGGACCCTGACTTCCCCACAGTAGGACTGGGCACTAAAGAGGGCCGGGACCAGCTCTACTGGAAGACCATCAAAGCCTTTCATTATGTCTACGAGCACCATGTAGATGAAGCAGATTGGTTCTTAAAAGCGGACGATGACACCTTCGTTGTGGTGGATAATCTGCGCTGGATTCTGTCCAACCACACCCCTGAGGAGCCCATCTACTTTGGCAAACGCTTCAAGCCTTATACAAAGCAAGGTTACATGAGCGGAGGGGCGGGCTATGTGCTAAGCAAAGAGGCTCTGAAAAGATTCGTGGAGGGTTTTCGGACCAAAGTTTGCACACACACTACCCCTGTAGAGGACCTGGCACTTGGGCAGTGTTTAGAGAAGATGAATGTCATGGCAGGGGATTCCAGGGATACTCTGCATCGAGAAACTTTCCATCCATTTGTGCCCGAGCACCATCTGACTGGCAAATTCTCCAAGACCTTCTGGTACTGGAGCTATTGTTTCTACCCTATTGTTGAGGCAAGTTTCTTTTCTTCTGCTTTACTAGTGAGCTTTTACTATAATGTAAGAGGCATGAGTCAGAAAAAAATACTAGAAGTAAACAAAGTTACTGCATGATGTTGTGCCTTCATGCAAATTTGGCCTCCCACTGTATACACTACTCCCACTGTAACTGTTGACACTTGCAAAACTAAATTCGCTACTTTAATCTTTAAATTATTGATCCATATAGGACTGCAATGATTTTACTGTGTGTTTAATATTTCAGGGACACTGCACAGTAAAAACTTCTTTTCATTTGGCTGTCAAGCAGACAACTGCACTGTGCCACAAAAAGCCCTTTCGTTCTTGGCGAACAAATCTTTGCATAAATGCACCCAATAATGGGAATTCAGGGCCTTTGCACAATGAGAACTGTCTCCATCTGCTCTTAACAGCTTTTTGATTAGTTTTAAAGCCAAATCCTTTAACTGGCACATACACCTCACTATATAGAGAGAGAAACAGGAATTGTGGTAAAAGAGAGAAAAAGTGGGGCAGTGTTAAAATCTAACTCATGCTGGGGTATGATATCTCACAGTCAGTGCAGTACCACTGTCTTTGCACAGCTGCCCTCCTAACTGTGCCAAACCTGCGCCCTAAGAAAACAACAGTTTATGTGAACATTTATTTAAATCTTCTGTTTGACCCATATCCTATCTATTGGAATAGAGAAAGCAGATTTTATGACTTATGGTGCAGCCAGTTGCCAGGGAAAGCCCTAAAAATATTAGCTTTTTTTGGGGGGAGCTGTTAAGTCGTCCAATTTTTAGAAATCTGTTGTATTGTATATTGTCTGCACTCATCTAAAGAAAGTTGCTAAAGTGAGATAGTAATCCTTCCTGTCAGAGGCTTTCAGCAGCATAGCCCTTAGAAATAACAAATGGACATAATAATTAACCAATCAATATTTATATAGCACCATTTCACAACAAGTGTTATCCCCAGATGCTTGATAAAAGAGACCATTCTTTATTTCCAAATACCCATCTTCACATATAAATGATATGTGAAGATGGGATAAGATTGGGCCCCAACTTATGAGATCAGACCCACTCCCATCCCATTTTCAACCACATGAATGTGACACTTTGCAGCATTTAGCAAGTTACAATGGAGAAGAAAAAAGTCTTTTGAACAGGCAGAAACTTTGAGCAGAACCAGACTCATGTAGAAAGTCATCTGCTGAGACTGCATTGAGTTAAGAGAGGGAAGAATGAGAATGAGGGAGAGATGCCCAATGTGCCAGTACCCCTGACAGTCTTAACCTATAGCAGCATAACTCAGAGCTGGTTCAGGTCTGGACCAGCTCTAACAATAAGCTTTATCAAAGAGGAAAGTTTGACGTTACTCTTCAAGATAGAGAGGGTGTCTGCTAGATCATGTTAGACTGATACCCTCTACTGCAGTTATGTCATTAAAAATGTCTCTCTAAGGTGTTTGGGGTCGGGAAGAATAACTTCAGTTTTGTCAGAAAAAAGTTCCTCATCATTTAGATCTTTTATTTCTGTAGGCATTCTTCAAGTGAAGTGAATCTAATGGTTTCTCCTGGCTTCAGTAATACATTTAATTTAATATCATCTGCATAGAAGTGAAAATTGATGGAATGTTTCCTGAAAATATTTCTCATGTATATAAGGTAAAGAGGATTGGTCCTAACATCAAACCCTGTGGAACTCCATAACTGACCTTGATATGTACTGAAGATTTTTTTCTTAACATATACAAACTGTTAATGATGAAATTAATATGATACAAACCAAACTAAAGCAGTTCCAGAAATACCCCTTTGTTGTTCTGTATCAGGATTGGATAGTCATTTGTTCTTAAGCAGCACTTATTAGCAATTTAATAATTGGTATGTAAAGCATGCATGCAGAAATTTCATAGTACTATGCTTCGTGTTTCACACATTTTACTCATTTAGGTAAGTGTCTTAACACAGACACACATGACAAAAGAAAAAACTGATCATTTGGCTAGTAGGAAGCTGTTTCGTCACCTTTATATTTGTCAACCAAAAGGGAAGTTAAATCCTCAAAAATAGCAACGGTCATTGTACTAAAAATATTGCACTGTACTTAGGATGATCACAGTTGACCAGTGTTGAGGCACACACCATATCAAATAACATTTCTGATTTGATCCAATTTGCTCTTTTTTCACACAGTAAGTTCTGTATCTACACTGAGAGAAAATTGTTAGAAAAGAGCGGCAAACTGGCACAAACAATTCAAGTGCAAGGTGGTGTGCAGTGAGCTGTTTCAACACACAGACCTCCTGCAGAGTGGATTAGCCTAAATAAGCAGGGCCAAATCAGTTGGGTAGACATGCTTTTCAGGGCGTTGATCCACTGGCTGAATCCTTTAACATAATTAATGTACATCTGCTCTTCCTCTGACAGAAATGTTCTTTTATTTTTCAAACGTACAGCAGCAACCTATTTTCCAGCTGAAAGTGAGTTAGTTTGCAGCATGCTGTGATTTTGCTGTTGTTGTTTTAAACTAAATATATGTTCAGTCAGTCAATAATGACTCATCACAGGGATAATAACAAAATAAATGAAATGTGATTATCTGGCACTTTTACATTCCGTCCCTGACCCCTTCATTAAACCAGTGAATTAAAAAAGAATGAGTTCATTTTAAAGTAGATGATTGTAGCAAAGACAATGTCCTGTCAACAAAGGAGAAATTGGTCAATTTGTTGCTGATGATGCAACTAATTCATTGTACTTTGCAATTAAAATGAGACAGGTCTATTACTGAAGCTGTCACACCCTGGCTGCTGTTGTGCTGAGATGCTTTGTTCTCAGCGGTTTGAAAGGGAAATATCAAAACAAATTTACTCTTACTAATAATTATATATTTTTTTATCTCTCTTAAAATGGAAATTTGTGGTTTCAGAAATGTCAGTGTATAATGATTCAAAGGAGAAGGCATGTAATACTGAACATCCTCCTTGTTGGGAAGTAAAAAGAAAAAGACCAAAAAAATGAACGGCTTACTACATATTAGATTATAGTAGTTAGATATATCATGAAGTATGACAGCACATACATTATAACAGGTAGGACTTCTCACTTTCTGGTTCACAACAAAGAGACAATATTTAAATACTCCATGTTTACTTCTTAAAGGATTTAAGAGGAGAGTGTTTGTCAAAGTATCAATGCAATGTCCTACAAGTATTGCCCTGCACTTAGGATGATTTTTAAGCCAATACTGATCATTGGTAATTACCTGCTTCTAATGGCGATTAAAGGCATGGTTGACGATCTGAGAAGCAGTTGAGGCAGATTTGAAAAAAGTGTCCCACCCTCCACACACAAACCTCTCCCCTCTGTGCTCCACGATAACTCCCCCAAACCTGTATCGCCCTCCCCCTCTGGCAGAGCAAGAAGCCGGCCTGCAGAAGATCCTACGCTAGCTTCAAATAGGATTCATCATGTCGGTTTGCTTGTGACTGTCCTGCAGCTGCCTGGATAGCTACCTTGTTGACTTTGCTGAGACTAATAAGAGTTATTTATGTAACATGTGCCACGATAAAAGGTAAAAATTACCTGTTCAACAAAAACTCTGCTGTTTTGCCGTCTGTTTTCAGGGCCCAAATCCTGGCGGAGCTTTCTCCACCGCTCGAAGGATGACCCGATGTTTATTCGAGTTAGAATCCTCGCTCGGTCACATTCCCTCTTCGACTCTGCTCTTTCTTCTGTCGGCTTGTGTTTTCTTAGCACTTTGGGTGGTGGGGCAAGCAGAAGTTTTTTTCTTTTTCTTTTTTTTTTTTTTTTTTTTTTGCATCCCTCTACATCATAGCTCCTGAAGCTAAGCTGCTACGCTACTTTTAGCTGCTCAGAGCTCCGGCAGGGGACGAGTCGGAACTATGGGAGGAGGGGTGTGTTGAATACAGCGAGGTGATTGGATGGAGAGGCGGAGCAGAAGATTGACCAATAGGAGCTGTCTGGGACCGATGGCTCCCATTGGTTAATTCTTTTTTCTATTTACTTTGTAGAGATCGCACTATAGGACCATGATCGCAATATAAACAAGGTTCATAATAATTACCAATCTCTCCAATCATCAATCATGCCTTTAAGATTACCAATTTTCCTTCACACATCTTTGTGGAGTTCTTTGTACACATCTTTGTACAAACTTGAGGGAAAGAAAAGCTAAGCTGTACTGACCAAACAGGATTTGTTTTATACCAGTCAGTCATAGTTACTTTTGTATGGCAAAAACTGTATAACCCTTCCTCCAGAACCTCAGTCCAATGTGTACTTTCACCTTCCTCTGCCTTAGCATGGTTTGAGCTTCATACAGCCACTGGGTCATCAAACTAAGCTTACTCACTGGACTAACAGCAGAAGTCCACATATCCATGGTGAAGCTTGGGTCATGTTGCTGATGAGACTGAATTTGTGTGGGAACCACGTCAAACAGGGCAGGCTGGGATATGTTTAAAAGCAAAAAGTCTCAGCTCAGGAGAGTATACACAGGTTCCAGGTCCTCTGCCACAGAGATTGGTTGATCATTAAGCGCAATAATACAGCAGCTGAGTCATTTATTGGTTTTGCCTACACGGAAAACTTTCTGCAGCCTGCAAAAGCCTCTAGTATAGGCACCACATCACTTGTCTTTCTTAGTGCTAATGCTAGCTTCAACAACTGCTGCTACTTCATATTCCTTAATAACATCTCTGTGGGCATTGAGTTTGTTGGTGATTTGCAAAATTGGTTGTGTTAGACCTTGAAGACCTTTCCCCCTCTTTGCGGTACATGTTTTTAAAATTTTGGCTTAATTGTTCTATTGACTCTTTTGTTAGCTTGTGTGATAGTAAACCCACCAGCAGCCTGTTGAAACTCATCTAGTTGACTCATGGAGTTGATTTTAATACAAGTCCTGCCACTACAAAGACAAATAGCCAACCATAGTTTAGAGTTTTTGGGGTGGTCTGTCAGATTTCAAGGCAGGGCCCCCTTGCCTTTCAGCTTTTATCCAGATGAAACTTCAGATTCTGTTTTTGGTTTAGCTCAAAGACACTCTCCAGATGCTTAATATACGACTTATGCAACACTGCTCTATTAATATGCAGACAAGAATAGTCCCCAACAAATGCAGTGTCTTCTCCTGTCTGAGTAAAGATTAATTTTCATTGCTTTACTGCTTTATTGATTTTAGGAAGATACTCAACCATTCAAAAACTGAGCCACATGAACTTGTTGCTGTTACATTTATTCAGGCTTGAGGCTGAAAGCTCTGACTGGTATTTATCTTGTTCTTAAGATTAATATCAATAGTGATCAGTTTTGGTTTGCTGCAAAGAAAATTAGCTGATTTAGGTTCGATAATTACTGAACACAGTCACTTAAGTAGGAATCCCATCAAGCTAGCTCAGGCAGTCAACTCCAGCTGCATTGAATTCACAATAGACGTGCCATTCTCACAATCACATGACAAACACACGCCTAACTGGGCGTCTTGTTTAAGCTCAGAATTTCTGTTCCTTGTTTCTGCTTGCTATTGCCTCTACCATGTGCTTAAGTGCTGCACTCACATTTTTAGCCCCTCCAGCACCCTGTCATCCACCTGCAGGCTCCAGCTGAGAGGTTTAAGATAAGGGGCTCTATTTTGGTGCATCGCCGGAGATCTGCCGCAAGCGCAGCGTCAATCAGATCCGCCGCGCTGACAAGGCGTTCCCAAGCACATTTTGGTATTTTGGTGAGCCGCGCAGCCTGGCGTAAGTATCCCCCCTCCCTAACTCAGCTCCTCCCGGCAGCATAAATCATAGACGGGGAGGAGAGGGGGTTTAACACAGCCGAGACCTGTTTTCACCAATCACATTAGCTCCTCTCCTCGCCTTTAAATCCGCCACAGGCGAGGCGTATTACTATTTTCATGAAGTAGTCAAAGAGATCAAGAGATGTCTGAAGACAGTTATGCCACACGATGGCGACAGAGGGCAGCTGCTCAACAAGTGTCCTCCACACTCTCTCATCTGAGCACAGATGGATTTGGTGTGCGTAATGTTGGACCCACTGGTAAGACAAACACCCTTTTCCACAAATAAAGACACTCACATAAAGTTGCATATATTCAAACCTCACGTGACAAACGTGGGTTGATCACAACATAAACTCCAAAAAGGCATTAAAATCGGAACCATCTGTGCGTAAATGACGCATCGCGCTCCGTGGCCTGGCTCTTTCTTTCATAGATGTTGGCATATAAAATAAATTTGGCTCACAAAACTGAATATTATAATATCCGTATGTCGGCTTAAAGTAGATAACGCATCTGAGCACTGAAACAAATCATTTGTTCAGCCGCAGCAGCAGCAGGAAGACGGACAGAGGACACGGAGACGTGTCCAGGTCGAGCTGTGCAAGAAATAAGAGGAAGAAAGAAAAGGAGGGAGACACATTACATATCTTGTTAACTTCATCATGTGCGTTTATTTACTAGATATTTAATTTAATTTGATGCAGTTTCAGCTGTATTGATTCGGTCAGGTTGTGTGTCCAAACGCGTGCCAAACGCGCTCATCAGATCAGATATAGATCAGAATATATCGATATAGATCTAAATGTATGTGCTGACTCAGATTAATAGTTGTTGATCATTATTTAATGCACTGAAATGTGCCTGACACTGTGGAAACCTGCCGGTGAGGCATCAGCGACGTATGTCGATACGCCGCCGGTCTACCAAAATACTACTGGACCAGCTGCGTTCCGCCTTGCGCTGAAAGCTGACCAGGTTTGAATCGGCGAGCTTTCAGCGCACGTTACACGCCAGTGGCGAGCACGAAAATGTCACTGCGCCAGCTGATTCTGTCAACACCTCCCCCTGCCACGCCACCACGCCCAGCTTGGCGGATCTCGGCTCGCCTCCGTGCGACTCAGTCCACGAAAATACCAAACTCGCCTTACACCGGGCTCCGCCAGACGAAAATACAACTGCGCGGGGCTCGCCGCCCTCCGTCGCCTCACCGGCGCGAACGAAAATAGAGCCCATTGTTTCATCACTTCTCAAAATTCATAGTTTTCTGCTGTTGATGCTGCTGCATTAAACGATTCAAAGCTTAAACATGACATTATCTTCAAAAGTTGTTAGAAAAAGCACCTCAGTTCAAATTCATTGAGTGTGTTTTAATGGCGTGGCACTGTTTGCTTTCTTCAATCTTTTGTCTAACCTGTGTCTTGTGTGTATTTGCTGTGCTTGCCTCCTCAGGGTCCACAGTGCTGCTCTGACCTGGCTGTATCTTTCCATTATGTAGAACCAGAGCTGATGTACACACTGGAGTACTACACCTACCACCTGAGAGCCTACGGTTACAAGCCACGCTACCGACCCTCTTTGAGGCATTATCAGAACCTACGCCCACTCTCACAGACAGCTATGACGGTAAACCACAAAACTGCTCAGGAGGTGATGGACAAGAAGAATCGCACAACTTCAGCCCTCTCTGTAAAAGGAAACCAAACCAGAGTCGAGACAGAGTTGAAGGGGAAAGACAATTTAAAACCTGGGCTGTTCAGCGGGAACAGAAGCACAGTCACACATGGATGATTGTGTTTCAGCAGGGGTTGAATGTGCACGACTGTCTGTGAAAGTTGTTTTTTCCCCTGCACAGTGTTTTTCTCTGTCAGGGCTTCATTAGCAGCATGTATCAGCCAGTAAAGACTGTAAGCGCTCAGTGTGAGAGCTTTAAAATTGAGAATGATTCTCTGTCAGACCGAAAGTTCCATCTGCGTCTGTCAGACACTGAATTGGCACAAAGGCACTAAGAATGTTTGTTTTGAGAGTTTTTAGTTCCTGATCTGAGCTAAATTTGCAAAGCAAATGATTTAAAACAAATTTAATTTATAGTTTGTTTTATCAGCTGTTTGTTTGAAATGTGAAGTACTGGCAATTTTTTTTAATCCTTTTTGTTAAACAGAAAGACTCAATCTTATTATTATTTTTTACTTCTCAGATTTATTGGTTTAAATCTCATCTCCAGGTGTTTCCTCTTAAGTTGACTGCTTTTTTTTTTCAACTTAATATCTTTTTAATCCTTTTGAGCAGTCACTATTGACTTTTAATTCTCAGCCAGCAGGGATGTGATGTTTGTTTTAGTCGAGAGAAGCAGCACCTGTTGTAAAAAATGTTTTTTCATTTTACTTTTAATGATGTGAGAATCTCTTGTTCAGTGCAAATCCAAACCCTCCTGTGTATCTGTGAAAGAAAACTGCAGCTTGTGATGAACACAGTTTTACACAAAACTCTGATGACTCCCTCTTGTCAAGTCATCTCATGAATCCCAGCAGTAAACACTGTAACAGGTGTGGTTGAATATTTCTTTGTCTGCACTGGAGCCAAGCTTAAAGAATTAACATAAACATAGTACATGGAACAGTTCTGTATAAAAATTATGTTTATTTTGAACCTTGAAGAAAATGAATAACATGGTAAAGAAATAGCATGTGTGTGGTTTATCACTTCTAATGATTTCTGTCTTCAGATAAAAGGATCCGTGTAGATTATGGATTCTATCATGAGCTAGCTAACAGGTATACAGTGTGAATCATGTCTTTTAGTTATTTTCATCAGATATGTTCTTCATTCAGTGTAATCTTGCTGATCCTGTGTCTTCATTGTCGGATGAAGGTCGCTTTAGCATGAACCATTACAGCCCTTGGAGAAACCTGCAACAAGACACACCATGCATATATATTACTATGACTATTACTAGATATTAGAGTTTTAGATGTGCAAAATTCACGCCCAAGTAGTAATTTACTTTTTACATATGGAAAAAAAGTCAGTATCAGTGTTATTATTAGGACTTGGAAACTTGCTAAATATATCCGGTCAGCTGTTTTTAATGTAAGATAAATCTTGATCTGGAGAGGGTGAGATGTTCCATCCTCAATTGTAAAACAAGAGGTACTCACCTCAGCCTGCACTTGTTAAGAAAGATGCCTCTCCTCTCCGGATACTCTCTCCTCCATGGACCATTATCTGTGAAAGCACAAATTAGAATTAGATCATAAGTAAAGTACCTCAATTTTAATGATGACTAGTTCTGGATTTTCAGCAAGGCCACTGAATATATTTACATCTTATGAAACTGTACTCTCACCCGGTTCTGAGTTCCTCCTGCCCATTAGACCAACAAAGATGTCATGCATTTCCCCTAATAAGAAGAATGAGAAACATTTAATTTTGTCTGTTACAAGGATTTCAGTGACTCTAATCCAAACATAGCAGGAAAAAAAAAGTCTTACTTTTCTGTGGTGGCGGTACATCATTTTCGTCTGATGACAATAAAAAGAAACCAAAAGGAAAAGAAAACAAGGTTGTGAAAAATGGAATCAGGAGGATTTGAAAGTGAAGATCAATTAAAAAAAAACTTAATCTAAGGAAGGAAGAAAATTTAAAATCCATTTTTAGCACTTTAAAGTCTATTTTCACAGACTGTTTTTACATTTTTCATATTTGCACGAAACGGAATGAACTGATAAGTAAACTATCTTTCTTATTCGAAGAAAAAAACTCACCGGCATTTCTTCGTCCCATCAAACCCACAAAGCTGTCATAATCCAAATCGCTATACCTCTTCAGAATATTCCGCTTGAGGTTTTCTAAACCTGTAGTGTGCTACAAAAAAATGAGAGAAAAAAACGGTGTTTGTAATAAGTTTGACAGTGGAGAAAACAGAGTAGTTCTTACGCGTAAAAGACATACATCTGAAGGTGATCTGCGCACCCCGGGCTCCTCCTCGCATCTAGACTGGCTGTATCGAAGTTTCATGATGATGAACAGAGACACCAGCAGAAAACATCTCCTCATTTTTTCAGCAAGACCTGTGTGAAAACACATGTAGTCAGTTACATCAGCAACAGTCACTTCTTTATCAAGACGCAAACTGTACTTGTTGCTCAAACCCGCTGCGTAACTGGTGCGTAAAATGCAGCAAGGTTGGCACGGCTGTCACTCTATTTGGCTGAAATTTATGTGTTTGTCGAATTATTTTTCTGTTTTTTAATGTATTAAAAATAGCAAAACAAAACGATCAGATTCACCATCAGTTCCCTGATGTTTTCTCTCAAAAAGCCACAATTAACCAAAACCCACAACTTCATAAGTGGAAAAAATAAATGTGGAGATAAAATTTACAGGCTGAGCTTAAAAATGCTTCTGAAAGTATCTTTTTCTTTACCCCTTTTCTGTCGAGTAGATAACTTGGTGAAAGAATCAGCCTCCTTCCTCTGAGTGAGTAGAGCTGGAACGGATAGATCCTGCAGAGAGATCAGCTCAGAATAAATGAGGCGTCTAAGCTTTGGTGTAATAAATAATAGCTGGAAACCTGCGTAACGCCAATCAGAAACGGAGGCGTAGGTGGAGTCTCGGATCTTATATCACGCTGTGTCGAAGGCTTCGTAGCCAACTCATTGATGGTCATGATGCTGCTGAGAGTGTGCCCACCCATCACTATTACCATGAAGTACGCACGCACCGTCAAGTCCATGCAACGTCACGAGGACCCAGGTTTGAGGATCGAAGCAAATCTTTCCTCAACTCCAAAAACTGCAGCTGGATTTTTTTGGGGGAAAAATGACTGAACTCAACTGATCAAAGTTGTGTGTTCAAAGTACACTAGTTTAATCAGTCCAACAATTTTGCCACCATGCTTACCAGCTCTTTGGGGTCCCTTGTCACTCAATTGACTAGTGAACATGATGAGAGTCAACATACTAATCTTTTTAGGAAGTAATTATAGGGCTTGCAGCTGCCTCAGCTTGTCATTGTAGAAGATAAATGAGCCATACAGAGGAGGATCTGTAATAGAAAGCCCAATAAACCCACGAGAACAGATAATGTGCAATGAAAATAAAGATTTGTCAACCATAATCTTGATAGGTTTTGATTACTTCATTGATTGCTTAAAAACATTAAATATTTGAGAAGATATATCTTTAAAAATAGCTAACATTTGTGTGTCATTATTAGCAGTATAACTACAGATTAAAAATGTCCCTTTTTGCTGAGGGTGCAAATCAAGCTTGATAATGTCAGCATGCATTTCCAGAGGGATGGTATGGGGGAATTGGCATCCCAAAAACCTGTGCATCTCCTTGAGTGTCCTCTTTAGTTTTCAAAAGTCAAGGATCCTCTTTAGGTCCCATGTTACAAAGGCTGATTTAATGGCAAAATTAAACATGCTCACAGCCTGGCACCAAAAAAAGCTTTTTGGTATGTCACTCATTTAGTTATTCATACACACTTTACGAGGGCCAAGTATTTGTTTGGATATCACCAAGGCAAAGAGCTATCCATAAAATGCACAATCAAGAGTGTGGTGTATTTATGGATAGGTAAGTAGTGTAGTTAATAGCCAGGAGGACAAAACCTTGCCTTAGCTCCACCCCTTTGCTTGAATCTTGGTTGATTGTAATTAAGAATGAGTCAGCCCCTTCAGTCGGCCTTCAATGAGAAAACAGGCTGCTGGTCGCTTTTTTTTGCACAACCCATTGTCCTTCTTTGTACTTTGGATGGTCAAAAAATACTTTACAATTTTATTACAATGAATGGGTTTGCAGGTTGGGCTCAGTGGTTGAATTGTGAGGCCCTTATATGGCTGCTATCTTTGAGTTGGTACCCTCTGTTCAGCTACCAGCCTTCTCAGCACTCTTCCTTCCCTGTTCTGGACGCCATCCCTTTCCTATCCACTGAACAAAAGCCAGGAAAACAAACATACAAATAAACAAACAAACAAACACAGTTACGTAGGGGAGGAATCAGTCCATCAAAATTGCATAAACACACAGACTAAGATCCAGACATATTGTTTTGATAGACACTTTTTCATAGCAGTATTGGCACTGTGAGTAACAATGGAGTCTGACAATCATTCTTCATTCTCATCTTAAACGGCTTTGACAGACAGTGAGATAACATGCCTGTCTTGTAACTTGAAAAAGCACCCACTGTGTGCCACTTTGAAAAGTACACTCCCCCACCAAACAGCACCACCTGATGACGACACCATTGCACTAAAGTGCAAATACTTATAGCAAAGCTCAAAGTTGGGGGATAACATCTATGTGATTAAAAAAAATTAGCAGCCTTTCCTCTGTAATCATCAATCGCTAAAAGCTACTCAAAGTTAGTGCTCATAACAAACCTATGATTTGTCTTGCAATTACACAAGCAATTAGACTTGTGTTTGTGTACACACCCAGGATGCAAACAAGCATGAATATTTTAATAAAGCAGAGTTTGAGCCTCATAGGTACAAAAACGGCAGCAGCAACTTTCTGTAGCCTCTAGAGACTTAGGCCTGATGGAGGGTATGACACCGCCACCAACAACAAAGCAGCAGGCAAGAACTTCACAGAAGGTTAACTGTTATGATTTAGTAATGACTTCCCATTTCCATATTTGTCCTGTTCCTGTATGTAGTAGTGTGGGGGGGAGTGAGGGGGGAGTGCAGCAGTGTAGGCAGGGGTTGGGGATGGGAGAACTGTCACAAGTGGAAGCCATTAATTGCAATTTTACATAATTGATGAGTGTTTTATTATCCCCCTTGGTAATCAAAGCAATCCTCTCTTCGGACTAACAGAGAGCATAGGGAAAGAGTGCCAGGGGCTGTTTATCCACAACATGCCATGGGAGTGGAGTTTTCTCCTCATTCAACCAAAAGGCATATGGATATTGAGTGTGCTAAGCTGGGGGGCTAGACAGGCGTCCCGTTATACATCACAGGTTGTCACAAGGCTTGTGCACTGCGGAACAATATGACACCAAGCCCTCAGCTGCATTGTATTCAGATGTCATTCATTCTTGGGACTACAAGACTTGTTCTCCCTTTGCATGAGGTCCCTTAGAGCAACAAACAACTGTGAGGGGGGATTTGACAATATCGTAATCTGACAGGTCAGCAGGATGTTCACGGTTGGCTCACTAACAGCAGGTAGTTTATGGCGGCTGGAGAAGGGATAGAAAGAGAGGTGACATGAGTAAAAAAAGAAAGTTACATGGTAAAACCACTCAATATTACGGAAGCGTATTGCATTCACTTACAAAAAAGGAAAGTGTTTTTTTTGGGGTATTTTCTTTTCTTTGCTGTTAATTGGACATTTTTTTTCTTCTTTCTGTTTTTCTGCCTTTTTTCCCCTCTGTTTTTGTGCTAATATTTTTTCCCCTCTTACTGTTTTTCGGACAAATTTTTATTCAGTTTTTTTTTTTTTTTTTTTTTTTTGTCTTTCTATTTTTCGCACTATTTTTTTTTTCCTAATTAAGTGAGATACTTCAAAATCCTGCAAGTATCTCATACAATTAGATAACGTTAACCACCATGGCTGCACCAAATCAGTGTATTCTCCATCTCTGAGATGACTTCAACTATGGGGTCAATGAGAGGAAGGCATGTTAATAGTGTATGCAAATCCTGAGGTGCCGGCGCAAAGTAGACAAACTTATGACGATTTCATTTATCTGACTCAAAGAGGAGTATCTCCCAGTGTGTCAAACCCAAATGAAAGTAAAACTCCATTTAACTAAACAAGTGGGCCATGTTTGCTTCCGATAAATTGAGCAGAGAGGATGAAAATGTCTGTTATTAAATGACCATGATCCCAGAGAATATGAAAAACAATAGTCTGAAAAACAGAAAAGAAAGAATTATTTCTCTGAAAAACAGAGATTTTTTTTTTTTTTTTGGGTGAATACAATACGCTTCCGTAGAATATGCATCATGTATTAGCCAATCCTTTTTGGTGCTATTGTCAGTCAGCCAGCTACTTAGTAATGGTTGACCTTATAATTGTCCTGTTCAGAGTTTTCTCATCTATTCATCTGGATGTCTGTACAGAGAAGGCTGTTACTCGAGAAAAAAAAAAAAAAAACTGGTTTAATCTACAACCGCTTAAACATTTTTTTAAAATAACGTTATCCATTTATCTTCCTTTTTCTGTTAACTTTTTATAAAATTACAGGCTAAACCTGTATAAAAGTTTTATGATGAGGAACCCAGACATGACCTTGCTGTTGCACACATATAAAGAGGAAAAAGAGAGGGAGGAATGGTCAAAAAGACTCAGACTGAGTCAGACAAAATATTTTTTGTCTGTTGTTCTTTTTGAACATATTACAAGGTGTGTATTTTTATGTCACATTATTTATCCAGTCTCCTCCTAGACCACAGAGGGCCACATTCAGTTGCCTTTGCAAGCATGGAAGTATGTAAATAGTGATTCATTCCTTTGTGCAGCTGTTTATTTCCAGGAAGGCAAGCCACTGTATAGCCCTGTTTATAGTCACACTTGTATTCCCTTACTGTCTCTCTGATGGACCTGTCAATCATCCATTTGTGCAGGTTTTCATGGCCTGAGAGGGTGATGATAAACTAAGTTCCACCCATGACTTGAGAGGGGCCGGTGACGTGATAGCTCTTAGGAGAGATGTTATGAAAGAATGAGCAACCAGTGGGAGATAGAGGAGTGTGGAAAGATGAGACTGAAGATGAGAATGAGTGAGATTGCAAAGATTTGAGAGGTGCTGCAGTGTGTAGAGTTAGCTCTATTTGTCTACAGGCAGGGGTTGGATGTACAAATTGTAATCTGTAGTTCAAAGGGTATTTATGCATGTGTGAACACTAACAGCCCATCACACATTCAGTGGTCGTCCATGCTGTGTGCTCTTGCTTGTGGCGACATGAAGACTTAAAATAACCACATCTAGATTCATCTAGGTTGCTTCACGGTTGATCATGAATCACATCTGTCTGTAATTAAGTTAATGGGCACTAATCTAGACTTAACCCAGAGTCCACTCTCTTTTAGGGCATGCAAACTGATTTTGATGGATGAAGTTTTTTATTCCACCCGCTCCTCCCTGATCTCTGACTTGCGAGGTCCCACAGTGTCACTTCCATCTAAATGTTAATTTGAAGGCTGTTTCTTTAAGACTGGCATGGATGCTGATATGCCTTGAAAGTCCATTTGCATTAAATCACGTTTGTTGTGTGAAACTGTGTGCCACTGCTGTCTCACTCAGCCCCAACACATTCTGTTTTTCTGTGTGTTTTCCACAGAGCTGCACAAAGTTCTTTTCTGTTCCCTTCTTGTCAAAAGGTTTTTGTCCTCTTTAATCTTCATCTTTGTGACGATGGTCTGAACTGAGGCCTATGGAAGAAAATAAGACTCTCTGACGATGTTTAGGCTCTTGAGTCTCTCTTTGTGATAGATTGGGACTGTTTTGGTCCTCTTGTGTTGGTATTGCCCATTTTCTGCTCATTGTGCTGTGAAAGTACTCTGGCAGATACATTCTCCCTGTTGATCACATGGACAATTGCTCTCCCATTTTCCCTGTACACTTTTTGGTATCTACATACTTTTATTTACTCTAATGTTGATAAAAATGCAATCATGTTCTGTTTTAGGCCTAAGTAATGGGGGAGAGTAAT